TTTATCAACGAAGGCATCTTTTGCAAACCTAAATCGTTTTAAAATGATGAGAATTGCGCACATACACCCCCTCCCCCTTACCAACTCATCACGGCAATGCTCATTAATCAAAACGAGTATATTAGGATATAGCTGTGATCTGGTGGCGTTGTGAGATCGTCACGCGTGACTGATTGTATAGGGTATCGCCCCATCACCATGCCGCGGGTCTCTCTACCTGAAGTATGGGTGGCATAAGCTCATGACGACTCTACACAAAGTGCCACTTTTGTCGTTAGCCCTTTTGAAACGACACCAGTCTTCTATCATATTCCTAAGTATTTCATAAGAAAGCGTTGCACTTGAATGCTTTTAGCCAGTTTTCTCTTTAATCATTTTGAATATATTTTTGTAAACTTAACGTAAAATGCTTTCGACAGCCGCGAATATGATTTATAGCCGCCAATGGAGGCAAATTTGCTCGATAACTTTTGGAGCTGTCAACCCTATCGTGTGGAGAAAATCGCAGCCTTTTGTCGTCTGCTTGTCGACGTCGTAGGTAAATCACAGGTATATGAGGTAGACATAATTAACAATCTGGGGTCACGGTACCACCGTTTTGAAACAGATACATCATACAGCAGATCGGGGTAGGTTGGTAGCTGGTTATTCTGAAGAAATATATCAATTTGCACGTTTTCGACAACCTTACTATGAAATAAAGGGGGGAGGGTGGAGGAGGGGGGGGATATAAAAATAGGATTTTTGCTAATGATGACGTAAATTTCATGATTAATTTTTTATTCCAGTATTCCAGAATATCAAAAATCCCCGCTCAATTCAATATACGTATTTAACACATTCAGTCAGTTCTGTATCGTATGATGTAAAGGCTTGTGTTGGAAATGTATAAGAGTTCTTTTCTGATAAACAATGTTCGATCTTTTTGTAGCTGTAGGTGACTACCTATCAATAACACAATATAAGACATTGTACTTATCACCCCTAGTTGTAAAACACTCCCCTTATCGTTATCAATCTGAAGAAAATTCCGTGCATTTTTCAACACGTTTTGAAAATGATTATGCAAGGTGTTGATTAATTGTATAAAAAATCATATACATTTCAGAATGTGAACTAAGTGAAATCATCTGTAACTCGCAGCAAATGACACTGTTTTCGTATTGTTTTTATGGATAGGATTTCAGGCACTACAACATGGTTATCCGAGGATTCACATTTAGGGAAGGGAAGAAAAAAACTAAATTCTGTAAGAATTCCGTGAAATCTTATGCCTGATGATTCTAAATAGAATATATCTAAATACCCTGTCCTTAAATCTACCACTAAATGAAAACAGAACTTGGAAGCGAGAACGAATTTTAATGCCCAATGTTAATGGACAATATATATGCACATTTACCGACATCCTTAATATTTATGTGCATTTGGATAAAACAAAAAATCCTTTAAATTATGTGAACCTCTGTTACAAAATTCAATTAGACACTCTCTAGCAGCACTTGTAATGAATGACGCATTTCCAAGATGACGGACTTATGTATATGTGTATACATGTATATATATATATATCCTAACTTCTCCCTCCCCAGCGAAATAACTCACTCGTTGTAATGTTTTATAACCAGGAAGTGTACTTTAACCGGTGTTATGAAATTATCATCGTAAGACTGGACATACATCAGTTACATGTATTGATCGTTTTCCGAAACATTTAACATTTTAAACCATCATTCATTTGGTGAGAAATAATCAAAGCTCTATTCCCGGCTATTTATTTTTTTAAATTGTTTTTGTTTGTTTTTGTTATTTTTTTTTTTTTTGTTTTGTTTTTGTATTTTTTCAGTTTCTTACATAATACTATATAGTATTGAAATTCATTGCAGCTTAGTCGTGTTTGAAGCAATTGTACATTAATGCAACATTATACATAAATATAAAAGTTATCAAGTAATTTAGAAGAATTGTTCTTTTATAAAGTGATTAGAAATAAGGCTGCTCGATATGGTTATATGTTTACTTTTTGTATTCGCTGGCTTTATATTACACAATAAACAATGTCTATCACAAAAGCTCTGATGGAAAATAATTGAACTGTGTGTTATTCACGTGTAAATTATCAACATTATATACATATATCTATATTACATACCAGATACATACCTTACGTATTAATATAGTAAATAATTAAAAGATGAATTCAGTTTTTTATTTTTTTTTCCGAGAAAACAAAATTGACAATGTATTGGAAATGTATATGACTCAAATATGTTTGAACCTCATTTGTTGATTAAATTCAAAATCTATGCTAGGTATTTCCTAACTGCAGCTAACTGTTGGTATACATAATGCGTACAAAACCTCATTCTTTTTTGCCTTAATCAGAAAATGAAGGCTTCAATATAATTATGTACATCACTAATTAGCTAATCGCCCGCACGCGTGAAAAGGGACGTGCCCGTGCGTTACAATTGCTTTGAAGTCCTTGGAAACAATTACAAAACATGCAAGATTATCACAAATCTTTTTGTCGTGCAGCTGATGCTGGTAAGCACTATGTTCTATCTAATCTTGACTTATTTAAACATAAGTTTCTATGTTTCGTGTTACAGATTAGCCGGAGATTCAACGTCTTAAGCAGGTTATTGTTTTACATTTGTAATAAAGTCATTTATAAAACGTTTGTTTCTATCCGAAAGGCGTTAACGTTAAAAAGAATTTTGTTATAGATATATTTGGTTCCAATTAAAAACGCATTCTGCAAGGGATGAACTCGCAAGTTAGGGCAATGACGAGAGAACAGCTGTACTCGAATGAAGTTGAATAAAGTATTTTATAACATAGGTTTACTCAGTTAGAGTTATCAAATGTTTAAGTACCGTGGTTTAATGTTTACAGCGCCTAAATTAACACTTGTATAACGAAAGCACAGGTAATTCCTTTAGGGAAGAACTCACAAGAAGTTTTTTGGTCGATTATTTAGGTCGTATTCCGACATATTTCCGTCAACTTACGGTTATAAACATTCAAATTAATGTGTAACGTAACCACACGAAGTTCATTTCTAAATATCTATCTACCGAACGCAGTTAAGTCTGTTCGTTTCACATTACACTGCAAGCCCAGATTTAGCGTAAATCATATCTCAATTCTATGCCTAGACATTTGACACTAATCCAGTTGGTGTTGATATACAGCAAACACCTGTATGATTACAAAATTATGATTCTAAACCTGCGGGAGTTCATTTACGTTACTCAATCCTTTATAACCGAAAATGCTCTCTTTCTCGTCTTCTGTATCGTGAAGATTCGTCAGAAACATTCAGGTTGTGTTACAAAATACCCATTTTATTACTTTTTTTGTCGTTGGGACATTTTACATAGATATTATTTTGTATCCGAAGCTTATTTATCAAAGTTCATAGCAGTATTTTTTTTTAAATCTCGGTATATCATATTTAAATTGAATAGAGTAGAATATGTTTATATCAACAAATAAATAATTGTCTGATTTACTATATTCTATCTAGTTTTTATTCTAATTTTATTTCATTACCTGATACACGTTTTTGATTATTGCAACAATTTTAATGCCGCAATTTTATAGAATCGATAAATAAAATGTTAAATTATGTAATTATGTCACTGAATAATAATCAATAACGAAAAAAACAACATTTTATTGTCTAGTTATCAGTTATAAAATAGAAATTTGTTAAATATTTCCGTAACATGAAAAACAACCATCCGTATCTGAGCTTATTAATCACGTGTTAAATGTTTTAGATATTCATGAATTAGTTTCAACAGTGTAAAACCAGTTGACAAATAGTTGTAAGTAGAGATGCAATATTAAAGTATTGTAATCCAGTCGTTTAACATTTTAACATTTAAACACCCTGTACAATCATCAGCATGCACATATACCTAACCGACGGTCATCAGATGGTTTATAAATAACTGAAAGTAATTAAAGCGAGTGGAAATATCTTTTTTAAAGGCAGATAATTTAAAACAATTATTTCTAGAAACGAACAAAGACTAGAGATAATTCGCCGATATTTCTTTTTGGTATTCAGCACTAATTGATAAATATAGAATTTGAGCTATATATTCATTAGTGGGGATTTAGCGGGTGCACTGATATATATAAATAGTTCGAAATCCTGTCACAGATTTTAGTAAGAGCTTGGTTGTGTGTCTGTACAGAAGTATGAGGTTAATACCGACACACACACCCGTGACTACAGCAGTTCCTACTGCTCCTTTCTGTGTCACCGGCGTCTCACCGTGCAAATGAAATGAAAACACCCGCAGGCGTCAAAACAAATCCACAAAGATCCGGGCCGTCATTCGCCTTGGGCTTTATTGTGTCCCTGTAAAAAGCAGGGTAGGACTGAAATTGGAAACCTTTTCTTTAAGCTTACACCCATTCACTATCCAAGTTTGAATCCCGTAGACGTACATTTAAGGAATTTACGGTCTGGGAAAACAGCATTCATGCTACTTGTATAGAAAGGTCAGCAATGTGGAACGTCCCATTTCATTCTCATAGAGTAGTTTGTTACAAACAAATTTGCATTTCCGGAAATTATATCCCTTCCACTAAAATAATATAGTCATACTTTTTAAAAATATGCTGTAATAGTTTGCATAAATGACAACTGTTCAAAACAAACGCGTAAATCGGAAGAAAAAAAATGCGACCCGATCCACACATTGTATTTAGTTAGCAGGTGAAATATTGTATCTGCGCACACACTGATGACTTGATTTGTGCTGTTTTGATGTGGTTTTGATAATTCTAAGTTATATTGTAATTTCGTTCAATTTTTCATACAGATAAACATGTTTTTTTCCCTTAAATTTGGAATAGATCATGAAAAGAATAAGTAAGAAATTGACAACTCCTGTGTCGGTCTGAAATCTGAAATGAAACGCACAAACGAATTCATTTTTAGGCGATTTTAGTATATATAATTATAAGCGAGATTTTACCTGAATCACTCTCATGTTGAGTCCCGTTTCCTGAGCTAGCTGTTCCCGGATGTGACGTGTAGGTTTAGGAGTTGCATTGAATGCCGACTTCAAAACTTCCAATTGTTTTGCTTTTATCGTGGTCCTTGGTCCTCTCCGTTTGGCTCCAGCGTTAGAATTACCACTTCCTTCTACTAATTCTTCACACGATCTATCGTCAACATCTGGCGTCGTTTGTCCAGGATTCGGAGGAATAGAATTTCCATTTGTGTCACAACTTTGTGTACTATGGTTAGAGTCTGATGAAATCTTAAGCAGAGCGGTATCGTCCTTAAGAGGGTCTGGACTTGAAGGGATGGAGTTCATGTCGTTCTTGTTGTTGATGATGTTATTATTGTTATTGTTGGCAATATTTGTATTGTTATTTAAGGTGATACTTGACAAAACATTTTCCTTTGTGTCTATTTCAGTAGTGTTGTCACCATCAATACTAAAATCCCGGTCCGAAAGGTTTGCCGTGTGTTCTAACTGGTCGAGTTCTCCTTCGTCTTCTATATCAGAAGACCCTGTAAAATTAGAAAGATTATTTTAGTCTCAGTAAGAAATCAAAACCGCAATTTCAAAAAAAAAAAAAAAAAAAAAAAATTATAATAATACATTTTAAAATTACTTTCTATGTCTGAAATGAAAAGCACACCTCTCACAGTATAGCAATGTTTTTGGAACATCACTCAAACAGTTTCAAAACAATGGACTCAATATAGTACAAGGCAGATGCAGGTTAAAATCTTCAAATACTCAAGACAACGCCACAGACGAGAGTTAGTTAAATAATATACACCAGATATGAAACACACATCATATGAAATGACAGAATTTTACGCATCCAAAGTTTAGCAATTTGAAAAATGTAAAGTCCATATAGATACTATCTCCGTTAGGAAAATTCAGACCCCGGGAATGTTTGGAATCTAATGAAGATAATAGTAAATTCTTGGTTAGTCAGCAAAAGACACTTAGATAAATGATTAAATTCAAGACGTGTTGTTAAGATTTACTCGTATAATCCCAAAAACATATACAACCTTCACAACGCATTTAGAAGGCCTTATGTATTCCGTTTTAACTAACACCCTTCTCAACGTCATACCGTGTTTTCTCATGCTTGATAAAATCGAAACCTATTTTTTTTTTTTCCCAAACCCCAAGAATCACGTCTTTGTCATTTTCAAAATCAGTAATAAAGACTGGCGTTCGTTCTGATGCGACATTTAATTTGTATTAAATCGAACTAAGATAGCGATGTTCTCTTGAAACTACAATGAACAAACAGCAATCGTTTTGAAGACGAAGGAAAAGCACGTGCGTATCTAAATCACTTGTACGTCCAATATGAAATAATGGATTTCTTGCATAAAATTGGTATTTTTTTTATAATTCTGCCTGTGTTATCAGGTCTACATGTACAGATACGAGCGCGCACGATAACCCCTCGACTTCAGGCCCCGAATTAACACGATGCTGGGCGATATGACTGGTATTATAAAAATTATCATCCTATGAAGTAGTAATGAGAGACGGAGAGAACATGCCCCCTCCCGACTTCCAGATAACACAACCACAAACACATCCTTTTATTTTCTAAAAGGAAACCAGTCCTAAGGAAAACTTGAAGCCATGCTCTAGTTTTGAAAAAACACAAGATAATAATATTTTTAAAAATTTTAATGAAAGTGAATGAAAGTATATGTTATAATATTTCTTCATGTCCTTAAGATATAGAAAACAGAATAATTCAAAACGTGCATCCTGAGTTCCATATGCTTTTCATTAGAGAACTTTACTGCCAGCATTTAAACTTAACGCCCAGAAATGGTCTTTCTTAGCATATATTTTCTCATATCTATTAAGAATTCATATTTTTGTGAGAGAAAAGTTAGCGGGCATTTGAGTTCAAAGGACTCAAGTATAGTATAGTGCTAGGGAAACATTTAGCGGCGGACGAGACACAGGTCACAGCAGGATTGCCGATTAGGGGGACTATTTATTACATCCGCGGAGGAATTTCTGCCTGATACCTGCGGAGTAATAATGACCAAAGTGTCTGAAAACACTTCGACAAAATTCGGGTGCCACTTATTTTAACGACTTAAAAAACATCGCCAAAGTGCAGTGTAGACGTTCAGTTGGTATTTGTTTATGTAGCAGAATCAGGTGCATGTTTTTATTGACAGACGTCCGAAATATTAGCCAGAAAAATACATGTGAACAATAATATTAGACGTAATAAGTAAATAGTTTTACAGCGTTTAGACTTAACGAACAATGGTTGCATACATTATGAACTTTTTGTAGTTTGTAGCGGAGTTTTGTTTTTCTAACGGTCAAATTAAAAACAAAAATCAAAATTGTCATAAGATTTACGAAAACATTTTTTTTAAACTTTTAACGGTAGTGCAACATCAATATGAAGAATAACAATACATATCTTGTAAATCTGACAAATCACACTACCTAAACTTACACCTGTAATCCGGGCACACATTTATCGATTTTGTTTTAATTAAAATATTTTGTACGTTCTTATCAATTCATTTAAGAAGATAAGAATTAATTAATTCAGAAATTAATTTAACAAAGAACACGGATTAAGCAAACTTCAATTATTATAATTTTACTAGCATATCTTTTTTCAGAAAATGTGAACTTTGACCTCTTTATATATATATATATTACAAGCGTGATATGATATCCAAAATATGTAAATCAATTGACATATCGTGAGACAAAGGAACAACGAGTAGGTCAACACGCTATCCTATGTCTTCTTTTCCCCTCCCAGGTGTTATTGTTATATCTACTTATAACCTGTCTGGACCAAGGGGCTACAGATTTCATGGAATGGTCCAAAATAGGCTCGACTAACAAGATTAGGGAAACCCAATACAAGATTTCACAAGTCGGTGTGAGATTACGAGCATGCAATCCGTGCACTTAACACAATAACAGTTAAACAAGTCTCTAGGTTACCCCGTGTCAGAGAATATTCGCCATTCCCAAACCGTCCTGTCACAAATTTCTAATGTAGCTACCACCTTAAAGAAATGTGTTATTTTATCTAATATGTGAATGGAAATTTATTTCTATCTATTTGTAATCTATAATATTCTAAGCTGTCAAGTTTTGTATATAACGTAGAGCATTTCTGATATCACGCAATATTTATCTTTACTTTTATTTATTCTTAAATAAAATCTAACTTATATAAATATATATTTTGTACAAATTTAAATTATTATTTTCAATTTCATTCATTGCGTTTACCGATGAACAATATGAAGAATATAAATTAATTTCGAACATTCCACATAAACATGTATTGTAATCTTGCTTTTGACATATGTATATCATTATTTCATGATTCATTCATATTCAAAAATTTTTAAAAAATGTTACAAAACTTTTTCAATGCAAAGTCTCGTTGATGCTTACCCATGCTTTGGTATAGATTTGAGAAATATCTTCCTTTCAGTGGGTCGGAAGGAAGAAATTGATTTAGTATAAAAATTAAAACAAACATTTATGACAGAATGTACAAAACATCTGAAATAACATTGTCATTGTATTAAATGTTGCTCTTACAGCAAAGCATTAAATAACAATTTTTTCCGCACTTTCAAAAAAATGATGCATGAGTATGGAAATAACAAATATTTGTCTGTAGCGCGTGCTTTGTCTGTCAGTTCCTAACAATCTCAGAACATATCGATTATAGATGACGTCTTCCAAGCACCCATCCTCCATCCTCGCCGATCAGTCTATAAATATCAGCAGGATTGACAGTTGATATGTAAGTATTGTTCACATATCAATACTTCTTCCATGTCCAATATATTCACAACTACGTGTATTTTTGGGAATGAATATATTCTGGGGAATCCAGGACTCGTCCAATCAAAACCACAGGATACCAACGTGCTTACAAATAGCTTGGATGTTAATTCGATTTTTTGGGCCTAAATCCTCCTATTTAGACCTTGTTTAGCATCTTAACACATTACATTAGATTCCAAAGGGAGCGATTACTTCCATCATTAGACACAACTGAGCCGGCAGGTCCTGTAGGCGAGTTACAGATCAATGCGTGGCAAGCAGAAACAAATTCGGCAAGCAACACTCTGATGAAAAGCGCTGTTTATTTGTGATAATGAGAGACGATTGAGTCTGCGGGGTCAATTTGAGTCGCATCCCCTCTAATAATACATTCTTTTATTATCTCCAATGAAAATGAAAACACGAAACAGACAAGAAAGGGACGGCGACGTCAACTTCATTAAATGTTGGACGCAAATCGAGTTTACGATATCGATAATCAGATTTAGCGGAATATTTTAGCTGCTAACCGTAAAGTGCTGTGTTTGTTCCTTCAAGAAATATTTTGCGGTTTATTTGTATTTTTTTGTTTTAATGGTTTATTAGCATTCCTTAAGGTTTCAAGGAATTTTACTCGGTTGGGTGGATTTTTTCTTGATGAGAAAATAGAACGATCAAATAAAGGACCAAAGCATTATTAAAGGCGTCAACCCGGCAATGGATATTACAAAATGAAAAAGCTCAGTGCCTGACATGGATTTAGAGACATATGTTCACGCCAAGACTTTATCAACTTCGGGTTGAAATTGAAAATATTACTTTAAAGACAAGATATCAATGAAAATGTATGACAGAAAACTATGTTTTGACCGATTTGATTTAGTACATTATAGAAGTCATATATCTATATTAAGTATCACAATTGACAATCTATCTATTGACCATATATGGACGTTTTATAAATATCTTAATATAATTAATCGTTTAAAAATATATTCTACTTTACATGTGTACGTAATATAATTATTAATTTATATAATCAATTACATTGTAATTGAGAAGGTCAATGAATTACATACCTGTATATACCTATTGTACTTATTGTGTTATGTACTACACCTAGAATTGCAAATTGAATTTTGAATTGAAATTTGTATTTATATTACAAAAGGTAATGCATTTTGTTTATCATTTTTTTCTATTGAGGAGAAAAATAAACAGAAAAATGATAATAAGTTAGGTATTTATGATATGTTATAATGTGTGCAATTAACCTTATATTCTAGGTGGAAACCTATAACATAGCCTTGCTAATCTTTCCATCTTCCCTGTAACGTGTGTGGTAAACTCTATCTGTTAGGTTATTAAAGTATTTTAATCTCTAATGAGCATTTGATTAAAGGAAATTCGTCTAAATCTTCAACCTTGATCATAGATATGGAAGAGAAATAAACTACTCCAACACCCAATGCTTCTTGTATATTCAACTAATAAGTGATAAGATGAATAGAATTTACTTGGCTTTCCTCAAGGAATAAAAACTAGGAGGTATATATATAAAAATACGTATTTTATATTTTAAACTACTACTTACGTTATTTTAGACCACACCAGAAATAGACACAGGATTTAATAGGTGGTTCCCAAACCCGTGAGAAACTGACAATTCCTAGCTTTTATAAAGATCTTAATC